ATGCAGAGTCTTAGTAGATTCACCGGGAGCAAGCGCATTAATCAGGTTCAAAAGTCATCTGAGTGGATGGTTGCACTCGGGTTGGCGCTGACACCCGAGCTTGAGGCCGTTCTCGCCCCCGCCAACATTCGCCTGCTGCAGCACAAAAGTCTCGCGCATCTGCACCATGAAGAACGCCTGGCCCGCGTCACTGGGATCGGCTCGGCATTGCTGCATTTTCTTGTGGTTCAACACGAACTCAAAGAACCCCTGAATCTCAATGGCGATTTGGTTAACGATCTCTGGGACAATTCCGTCGTTACCTGCGGCGGCGATGGCAAGGCCGCGCTACAGGCTATGTATGGAGCCGTAAACGACGGTGTGCTGCCGGGAGCAAACCACAGCCAAAAAATGTCGCGATTCTTTGACAGGCACACGGTCTTCGACAGCCATTGGCGGCCTCCCCTATACCGTCGACTTCGGAACTCCCAATTCGCATCTACCGAGGCTATTCTCGTTACGGTTTCGACGGGTTCGAAGCGCAAAGCCGAAGAGCAGCTGGAAGGTTCAAAAGGGCCGAAGCGGTCCAAGTTGGAGGAGCCAAAGAAGGTGAAGGCACAGCAAAAGACGAAGAACTCCGGGGCAGGCACAAACATGGCGGCGCCGGGGAATAATCGGCGCATCTTGCCCTCGCGAAAGTGCGCATCGCGAGTTTAGCCAGTTAAACTTAGTTGCAACACCCAGTGATTTTCGGGGTGTACTTTGGATGGTTCAAAACTTGTAGCTCAATAGTGACAAGAACTATGATTTCTTCATCTATATGTTCAAATAAACACACAAGGGAGGCCACTGGTAACGGCGAAAATCACTGTATTTAATTTCTAGTCTTTTCGCCGGCAATGGCAAGATAAATATATTTTAGAGGGAATGGGGTGGGCAGGGGGTGTTCTACAGCCCCAGGGAACCACTGCGCAGGAAATACCAAAAAGCCCACCTTAGCGGCGTAAGCGAGCGCAAGCCCATCAAAGCCCAAGCCCAAGCCCGCCAAGCCCCTACAGCCAAATTTAAACTCCGCTAAGGGGGGCAAGCCAGTTTGGCAAGCCAGTCCGAAAAGTCTCCAGTTGAGAGCTCGATTTAGGCCTGAGATATATTCGAATGGCACATCTAGGCCGACAGTTTCATTTTGGAAGGACACCGTGAGATATTTGAAGGGCACATTTAGGCCAGTTGAGAGCACAATTTAGGCTTGAGGAATATGGAATGGCGCATTTAGGCCGGGAGCGATCTAGTAGCGAGCACGATGTAGGCCCGATAAATGTTCGAATGGTGCATCTCAGCGAAAATCCAGCTGCGAGCGCGATACAGGCCTGAGCATTATTCGAAGTATATTTAGGCCAAACGATCCATTGGTGAACACCATTAGGCCTGTCAAATGGCACATACAGGCCAGAACGGATCCAACTGCGAGCGCATCGTAGGCCCGAGCAATATTTGAATGGCACATTTAGGCCGAACGATCCAGTTGTAAGCACGATTAGGCCCGTCGAATGGCACATATAGGCCAGAAAAATCCATCTGCGGGCGCATCGTAGGCCCGAGCAATATTTGAATGGCACATTTAGGCCGAACGATCCAGTTGTGAGCACGATTAGGCCCGTTGAATGGCACATATAGGCCAGAAAAATCCAGCTGCGGGCGCATCGTAGCCCTGAGCAATATTCGAATGGCACATTCCAGCCGTCGAATGGCACATGTAGGCCAGAACGGATCCAACTGCGAGCACAATGTAGGCCTGAGTAATATTTGAATCGCACAGTTAGGCCGAACGATCCAGTTGTGAGCACGATTAGGCCCGCTGAATGGCACATATAGGCCAGAAAAATCCAGTTGTGAGCACGATTAGGCCCGTCGAATGGCACAACTAGGCCAGAACAGATCCAGCTGCGAGCACGATATGGACCCGTCGGATATTGGAATGGCGATCCAGTTGTGAGCACAATTAAGCCCCAAGAAATTTTCGCATTAGGGTTTGGGTTAGGAGAACATTTTGAATAGGGTTCGGTACCCGGAGTGGTGCATAAGAGAGGTAGACCTGGAGGAGCCGTTCAGAGGGCAGAAGAACAGTTATGGTGCAATGGTTTTGGCCGAGTGGGAGCAAATCCCAGATGGCAGAGATAGGAGCCATTCAGCACAATCCAGAATTTGAAGGCGGCAGACGAGAAGAAATCATAGAATCCAGGAATCTAGTAAGCCCCAAAGCGGGTCTTTGAAAGAAATCGGTGTTTTCCTTGAGGTGGGTTGAGCACAGAGCTCTGGCGGAGTGTCGTGGCGAGAGGAGAAAAGTCCGATCGTCCCGTCACTCCGCTGTCACAAGACATTGCACCGCTTCGCAGGCTCATCGGTCCGCCCAGCCTAAGAGTGCTGCACCGTGACTCCAGAGCACGTACACCTCGGCTAACTTGGCAACCGATAGATAAATCGTGATAGCCTGAAACACCGAATTCCGCTTGCGGAAGAACGGGTACTGTCCATAGGTGTGGATCTCGAGTGGACTTCCAACTGGAGTGTCGGGGATTCTACGAAGCATTATGGATGTCGAGTGATCGAGTGCATACACATCGCTCCAAGATATTTGAGTATTTGGTTTTCCATCCTTGATATTACGATCGGCAGTATCCAGCTTTCAAATGAGTGTAAGTACTTAAACGGCGTTTGAAACTGAGGAAAACGAACCGGTTGGCGACAAAACAGTGCCATGGGCTCCGCAGTGTTGCGTCGAACTCTACTCGCTCGCGCAGAATCGTGAGGCAAGTACATCCCCACCGCCGAATCGCAGGATGGAGTTCGGATCCCGAACGTCTCACGCAGCCAACCGCTGCTTGCCGCGCTACAACAAGCTTTCACGACCGAGATGGTCCCAAAAGAACTGGTAGCCGCCCAAGCGACACCGCCAGAGCCGCGATTCCCCAAAACCATTGATTCGGCGATGCTCGAGCCTATCAACGCGGGGAGAGCCGAGACCTCGACTAAATTGTTGGAAAAATTGAAAGAGGAAGATAGACTCAGAGGTGAGTTGGCATCTACAGTGGCACCAGACATGTGATCAGAGCGTTATGGAGGTGCGAACTAAGATATCTCCGGTGGTGGCGCACTCAACTCTGATTTGAAGTGGAACTAGAATGGTATGGTTCTTCCACGAGCCGATGGGTAGTCAGTCAGTGCGAGTGAGCAGGGGAAGAGGAAATTAAAATGTGCCTGTACTTTTATGCGACACAAGAGTGCTCGGTGCCTCACCACATTGAGGAAATGATTATCATCTTGACAGGCTGGCTGTAGAAGCTGTTGAGATTTGAAAATAAATGCTGCACAGCAGGTCGCGGCCCGCCCTCGGCATCCTCGGCAACACGCAGCCGAAATCTCTTTTGGTCGTGTGATCAATGGTGCCTGATACCATCAGCGGAGATTAAAGGTTTCAGACAGACAGCCGGCCAGGCTTACTGTCACAGGCGTAATCTTATGAAGAGGGCGAGGTGACAAGAGCATGGAGAACCGCTTCGCACCCCACGATTTCCCTTCAAGGGTGATTTCAATCATCCGCGCTGTGATAGCTGGTGAGACCCAAAATTAAAGCTGTTAAATCTGGAAAGTCAGTCATAGGCTAACGGTGCCGGTACTCGGACGTTGTTTTCTTGGGCCAACTCGTTTAACCCCAGGCGCTTACGTCGCGCCCACCCGCTGCTTCTCGCCACCTCCACGGTAGACTATTCTGTGACCGTCGAACCCCGGCTTGAAAGTTGTACATCAGCTCCTCTTCTCCCTGGAGGAATATTCCCACGGTTCAATTTCTTTTTTCGATGTTGACATCATACATCATCCGTGCAGGTTAATATTGCTACAGATAAATTGACGATCACTGGGATTACCATGGAATTCCACAGACCGGCGACATAATGGGGATTAAAACAACAAAACACATAGAAAGCGGAAAGGAAGAAAAGATTCCGATGACACGCTAGGCAACCGATATAGGCGTGGATCTTCAACGCCACCTTGTTCAACCACAAAAGCGCGCCTATGTATCAAACCCTCATTAGAACAGAGTACCTCGGATGTAGTGTACGGCGCACCGCCTCATTGCCTAGCTCGGCGTTGAAAGTCGGTGAAGAGGCAAGCCGGGGTTCGATTCCCCGCACCCGAGTGAGTGGCCTGAGTTCGTTCTTTTGTTGTGGGTCCTGTTCCAGTTTAGCTTGAACGGTAAATGAAGGTTGGGCGAGATGAAATTGAATGACGAACCCTCACCGCAAACCGACATATATACTGTATTATTTCGTTCAAATCGACGAAATAGTACAGTAGTTCGATACTGTATACTGTATTTTTTCGTTCAAATCGACAGTCACGTGTCACGCACCCCCTTGTCGATGTTGAATTTTGGTTGAGGTCACGCGTCACTCGGGCCTCTGTCGGACCTCCAAGCTGTCACGCAGGTCCCCAAACTGCCCAAAAAGTGCAAAAAAGACGAAATTTTGGGTTGAAACGTCGAAATTTTCGAAGTGTCACGCCAAAATTTGACCCTTGTCGAAATGTTGAATCGGTTGAACTTGTCACGCGTCACCCCCCCTGTCGATCTGAACGAAAAAATATAGTAAATTCCCAAACCCGCCGATGAGGCACTTTTAACGACTTTGAACCACATCAGGTATCAGAGAAGATAACTCGGATGCGGTGTCTGGTGCACCGCCCCTTTCCCTAAGGTATGAGGCAGAGTGGATTTGAAGAGGCAAGCCGGGGTTCGACTCCCCGCATCCGAGTGTGGAATCCTCGAGTATTTTTGTTCTTTCTTTCAACGTTGACCGTGGGTCGCGTTCCAATCTAGTTTGAACGGAATGAAGGACGGGGCTGGGATGTAATTCGAATGGAATGATTAATACCTCACCACCGGCGCCTCGGATCCGCCATGTTGCACGATCAACCACCTCAAAACACACCCATCGATTGAACTTTCGTCAGTACAGAATAATTCGGATGTGGTGTATGGTGCACCGCCTCTCTCCGTGAGTCGGTATAGAGGTGAAGAGGCAAGCCGGGGTTCAATTCCCCGCATCCGAGTAGCCAGTTGGTGACCTTTTTTATTATTCTTTCTTCTTTGCGATGTCAATGGTCGCGGAAGTTTACGTCGGGTCTTGATTCAGTCTAGTTCGAACAGTAAATGAAGGAGGTGGCATGGAATGACTAAATATCACCACTTGCGGACGTGAACCCGCGGATCCGCCTTGTCGCGCGATCCGCCTTGTCGCGCGATCAACCACCTCAAAACACGCCCATTTATCCGACCCTCGTTGGAACAGAATAACTCGGATGTAGTGTATAGCGCACCGCCTCTCTCCGTTGTTTGGTGGTGCGGCACTTTGTTAAGAGGCGAAACGGGGTTCGACTCCCCGCATCCGAGTGCTGAATTCGGGCATTATTTTGGCTTTCTTTTTTTCTTTGAATAAAGAAAATGTCGATGGTTCGCGAGTCTCATTTCAATTTAGTTTGAACGGTGAATGAAAGATGGGGACGGGATGGAATTCAAATAGAACGACTAAATCTCACCACCTGCGGGTGTGAACCGACGTTGCACGATCAACCACCTCAAAACACGCCCATCTATCCAGCCCTCAGAAGAAGAGAATAGCTCAGATGTGGTGTATGGCGCACCGCCTCTTTCCCTACTAAGCTGGGCAGAGTAGATTCGAAGAGGCAAGGCGGGGTTCGATTCCTCGCATCCGAGTATGTTTGCCAGTTGGTTACTGTTTTTATTATTCTTTCTTCCTTGCAACATCGTCGATGGTTGCTGTAAATTTCAATTTAATTTGAAGGCTAAATGAAGGATGGATGGAATGGGGTGACTAAATCTCACCACTTACCTGCAGATGTGAACCCATTGCACGATCGACCATCTCAGAATAAACTCATCTATCGAACCCTCATGAAAACAGAAGAACTCGGATGTGGTGTATGGCGCACCGTCTCTTTCCCAAGGTGGTTGGACTTGTGAGGAGGCAAGCCCGGGGTTCGACTCCCCGCATTCGAGTGACCTCACGACGCGCGTTTTTCTTCTTTATTGTTTAATTGTTTAACCACCTGAAACGCCCCTATTTATCACACCACCATTACAGGATACTCATTCGGATGTGGTGTATGGCGCCCCGTCTCTTTCCCTAAGTGGTTGGACTTGTGAGGAGGCAAGCCGGGGTTCGATTCCCCGCGTCCGAGTGAGTGGTATGATTTCGTTTTTGATGGTAGCGTCGAGTTCGAAAGGTGAGCCAGCCACTTACTCAATTGAGGCCTGGGGAAACCTGTTTCATATGCATGATGAGAGTCAGGCGGGACTCGCGTCGCGGGCATGCGTGTACTCGTTGCGGGAGCAGGTACGCGGGTGGGTAGGCAAGTAAATAAAGAAATGAATAAATAAATAAATGAGGACTCATCCCCCTTCCACGGTTCCACGCAGGCGCGACAAAGGCGTGCGTGGTATTCGTACCCGAGGGATGGCGTGGATTTACCGAGGGCCGGTGTTCAAGCTCAACTTGGCCGCGCACGTTTCCGGCGTAAGTACTTCAAGCAAATAGGTGGGGCTCCTTCGCGAGTTCAACGACCAGATCACCCAGCGGTAGATTCAGATTTCGGTCTGCCGGCCGCCGACTCGAAGATATCGACAGGTCCTGATTCATGATCCACGGCGAAGGACGTGATTGGTGAATATTTGAGGCCTAGGAAGCCAGTGCGTCTGTCTGCTTCGTTTGTGCTGCCAGTTCGACAGATCTTGACCAAATCACCTAACGAGCAGATTCAGTCTGCCAGGTGCTTGCCACGGATGAAAGCCGCCGTCGGGAGCGAACCGTCTGCCACTAATCCAAGGAACGCTTCCGCCCGACCGTCTGGCGGGTCCTATCCGTAGCGTCGAGAGGGTGTGGTCGGAAACAAGAGTCGGACGGGTGTTTCCCGACGAACACGTCATACATCAAACGAGATCAAACGTCACCGGTTTATTTTTACTTTGGTTGATTTTCTGCATCTCCCCTCCGAAAACTAAAGATTATAGACGGCACAAGCACGGGAAGTTGGATGATCGTGAAATAAATTTCTTCATGCGCCTCTCCCTCGTATCTTGGCGTATTAATGACCTTCAACACTCTGCGTGTGATCAGCTTGTTGATCCGGTGCGTGCCGACCGCTATCGGCGGATATCTTCCGATCGCCTAGGTCATAGTTTACCCGACAACAATTTTTGGTTTGCGTCGTGATAGCCGCGTGCGCTGTTGCTTTAAAGCCACCACCACCCTCTCCTGCAGCGATCGAGCCTGCAATGAGTACCCACACGCACGACTCTTCGGACGAGGGGACGATGAAGGACAAGGAGTATGGGGAGGTTGAAAAGGGGAAGGTCGTGGACGGAAAGGGCGACGACACCGGGGGACGCGATAACTTGCAGCTCGACGTTGGGAACGAGGTCGCGCGATTCCGACAGCGGTGGTGGCAAATCTGGTACGTCCGTTCTTCTTATCCCAATGACCATTCAAAATAATCTGGGTTAACTTCTACTACCAGGGTCCCCGCGCACCGGCCGCCGCCACCGCCGGACTCGCTCGACGCTGCGCCGATAAGCCCGTACGTCACCGCCTCGCTCCTCTCGCGCCTCACCTACACGTGGATTACACCCATGATGGTGCTCGGATACCAGCGCACGCTCCAGGCCTCTGACCTCTGGCGCATGGGCCCGGAGCAGGAGGCGGGGTACCTCACCGCAAAGCTCGAGGCGGCGTGGGCGAAGCGCGTTGCCGACGCCGCCGCCTTCAACGTGCGATTGGAGAAGGGGGAGGTTCGGCCGGGGGTGTTCAAGCGTGTGAAGTGGGCAGTGCGCGGGAAGGGCAGGGAGGCAGAGGAGAAGAAGTGGCGCGAGGGGGAGGGCAAGAGGGAGGCGAGTCTGGCGTGGGCCCTGAACGACGTGTTTGGGCATTTGTTCTGGAGGGGCGGGGCATTCAAGGTGCGTCCCAACTTATAATTGTACTGCAATTGATTAACCGTAATCTGCATTTTCAAGGTCGTTTCGGACACTTCGCAACTAATGGGCCCTATACTTGTCAAATCGCTCATCAATTTCGCCAAGGCGCGTACCGCAGCCAAAGCTCTCGGCGAGACGCCCGCGAACATCGGCAACGGCATCGGCATGGCCATTGGACTGCTGTGCGTTATCGTCGTCGCGAGTATCTGCCAGCGTGCGTAGCTCCTACACTTATCTTCCTACCTCGGCCGCTAACGCACCCACAGATCAGGTTCGTTCTTATGGACCACCCATTCGTTCATTGCGAATTAACGGTAATATCTTTTCTAGTTCTTCTTCCGCTCAATGACGACCGGCGTCCTCGCCCGCACCGCCCTCACCGGCGCGATCTACGAACGCGCCCTGCACCTCACCCCCACCGCGCGCCTCCGCCTCTCGAACAGCGCCGTCTTGAACCACGTTAGCACGGATGTCAGCAGGGTGGATGCCTGCGCGCAGTGGTTTGTGAGTTCCCAATTAATTGTGTTGAATTGTTCATTTTTTCTGAACGCGGTGAATCTAGCACGCGGCGTGGACAGCTCCGATTCAAAGTGCGTCTCCACTCCTTCCCCCGGCTCTCGATGGTTGTTGATGAACTGACTGACTGCGTGTGCAGCCACGGTCTGCCTCATCATCCTCCTCGTCGAGCTTGGCCCCTCCGCCCTCGCGGGCTTCGCCCTCTTCCTCATCATCATCCCGCTCCAAGAACGCATCATGGCGCGCCAGTTCATCCTCCGCAGAGACAGTATGCGCTGGACGGACGATCGGGCGAAGAAGGTGTTGGAGGTCATTGGTGAGTCTCAGCATTAATTATTCTCACTTTGGATTGCGTTGGATTCCTTCGTTCCTTCTGCATGTTACTCGAGTGACTCTGCAGTGCTTCACATTCGAATCTCGGTGCCCAATTTCTGTCGATTTTATTTGTTTTCTCTCGTTAAGTTTGCTGATGCTAATTTTATTTTGCGCAGGCGCGATGCGCGTGGTAAAGTACTTCTGCTACGAGGGGAGCTTCCTCGCGCGCATCCTTAACGTGCGCAAGAAGGAGCTCAAGGGCATTAGGCTTATACAGCATTCGCAGAGTGCCAAGTGCGTGAATTTCTTTCAACTTTCAGCCTTCTCCCAAATTTTCTCACTCCCGAGCCTTCGTTCGTTTCCACGTTTACATTTACATTTGTCGTTGAGCAACTTGAATTAAACTAACGCATGACGTTGCAGCATCGCCATGGCCTTCTCCCTCCCCGTCCTCGCCGCCACCCTCGCCTTCGTCACTTACACCGAGACCTCCAAGACGTTCGATGTCGCGGTTGTGTTTGCGAGTTTCTCGTTGTTCCAGGTGCGTTTCTGACTTTTTTCCCTCCATCTCGCCTTGTTCCGCGGTCATAATCATGCATAACTGACCTCACGACCTACACCCCAGCTCCTCCGCCAACCAATGATGTTCCTCCCGCGCGCCCTCTCCGCCACCGCCGACGCGCGCAACGCCCTTCAGCGCCTGTCCCTCGTCTTCCACGCGCCCTTGCGTGAGGGTGTACCGTTCCTTGTTGAGGAAAGCCAGAAGCCGGCGTTGGTGGTGGAGGGGGCGAGCTGGGTGTGGGAGACAGGGGTGAAGCCAGATGAGGAGGTGGATGCGAAGAAGGGGAAGGGCGGCGGTAAAGATAAATCGAAGGCAAAGGCGGCTGCAAAGGCGAAGGAGCAAGCCGATAAGGAGAACGAGAAGGGGGACGCAGAGGGGCAGCCGCCCTTCGCGCTGCAGGACATCAGCTTCACCATCCCGCGCGGCACGCTCGCCGCCGTCGTCGGGCGCGTCGGCTCCGGCAAATCGTCCCTCCTGCAGGGCCTCATTGGGGAGATGCGCACCACAGGCGGGAGGTGGACGTTTGGGGGGAGGGTGGCGTATTGTCCGCAGGGGGCGTGGATTCAGAATGCTACGCTCGTGAGTCGCGTTATAATACTACTTTCAAACGGAGGGCAAGACTGATTGGGGTGTAGCGCAACAACGTGCTGTTTGGGCTTCCGTTTGAGG